TGGGGGGGGGGGGGGGGGCTCCTTGCCCGCAGGCATCGGCTCCACCCTACCGAGTGAAAGAAGGGAGAGATGGAACACATCAATGGCGGCGTTGAGAGATGGAACACATCTATGCAATAGGGAGCCATCAGAGGGTGGCAGCGGGGGTGAGTGGGTGGGTCCCAGTCCTGTGGGAGGGGCGATTAAATCAATGGATCTACCACGACCACAGCCCGACAGTAAACAAAGCCTGTATGGGTGCACAACATCTCCGCTGAGGGCCGAGGGAAAAGCGAACTTCATCGATGCTGCAGAGTCGGCACAGGAACACAGGTACTTGATCAACACGAACCGCATACACCCACCCACCGCTTAATCCCCCTTAGGGCTGTTTGATACACAGCGATTTTGATCCAAATTTCCAAATTTCCAATTTCTAACTTTCCAGATTTCCAAAGTTTTGGAACGAATTCTCGTTTTAGGTGCCAGTAATTTCAAAAACTTGCAAATTTCCTATTTTTTTCTCCGGGCGCAAATCGAGGTTCAACGGTCTACGGGTTAGGATATTTGGAAAAATAGGAAGAAACATCGCTGTATGTAACACGGCCCTAATAGTACTTGCTGGACGCCCGAGGGGAACACTCTGTGCACACAGCACTCAAATGTCTGTTTACTGCACCATAGTCGCCCTAGGCTCCGCTGTGTGCAACGCACGTGAGAGCCCTTGGTCTACCATGCTTGGCTGAGGTGGGTGCGCTGTGCGATATGCTGTGTGATGCCTCTCCTGGGCCTCTGACTTGCTGTGAACAATCTCCCAAGCAGAGTTGTCCCCTACAGGTGATAAAAAACTGTATATAGCCTGGTACTGCAAAAAAATGCTGACTTGGCACACTTTCTCATACTGAAGCCGCGTCGCCCTAAGGAGCCCGACACTCTCCGATCGTGTTGGAGGGACTGTAGCCCCTCGGCCAATGACTGAAAAATTATTTGAGTCTCTTTTTTGCGGAGGGACTGCTTACTAGGAGGGTTAACGCGACACACGGGGTTCCACAATTTGTTTTTTTGCGGAGGGACTGCTGCTTACTATTAATAGGAGGGTTTTTAACGCGATACACGGGGTTCCACATAATTGATACTGGCGTTCTCGCAGCACATGCGACTTCCTGTCATTATCCACCCTGTTGGTGGTGGTGGAGGTTCTGCGGCACACTCGTTATTCCGTTCCAAGCGGCACAAGACACTAGATACCTCAGGTGGTCGGTCACGAAAAGGCACGCTCTGGATCAACGCTCCCACCTCGTTGGAAGGGCCCACCCCGCCTATTGGGGGAGAGAAAAGCTTACACTCGAACTCGTCTTCCCAGGGAGCCCGCTCTCCTGCAGAGAGGTGCAAAAAAGAAAAAGAAAAAAAGTTATAGTTCATGTCCAGAAGAGGGGAAAAAAAAAAGTAAGTTTCGCTGATCGATCGACTGAACAAGAACACGCAACATGTTGTTACTTGCTCTACCCGTCAGACGCTTGAAAATTTCACCGCCATGGGGGACTGGTTCGTTGATCCCTGTTTGCCATGACCTTTGTTGCATAGGCGCAGCAGCATCCATTGCTGTATCCTCAACGGAAGCATTCCCAAAAGCGCTCAAGAACGCATCACTGGCGTACGTCAAATTTTCCAGAGAGCTCATCCCGCGCCTAAAACAACAAAAAGACGCCACCTTCGCAAAGAACGCCGTCCACCCTGAAGCTGGGCGGAAGGTTGATGGGCCAAGACCACTGTCCAGGGCACGCGTACACCTGCGCCCGCGGAAACCTGTCGCTGAATGGCTTGACGTAGACTTTGTGCTCAAACTGCAGGGAGGGGGAGAGCACGCCCCAGGTTAGGTGGAGAGGGGGACGCAAAGGGCCGAAGTGAGGTGCGATGTTTGCCGGCAGAACCAGCGGCAACATGTTCATGACCGCCACGGGCAGTACCGCCGGCAGCAACAGCAACAACAGCGACCATGACGACGACGGCAAATACCACAACAGCGACAACAACAACAACAACAACAACAACAACAACAACAACAACACCGCCGTCATTTTTCCCAACATGAAACAAAGGGATCACCAACAGCACCGACACAAGCAGCCATATAGCATCCGCTAAGCCGGCCCCCCTCACCGCCGTAGTGGGGAGCACGATGTACCGAACCTCCTCCCCGAGTTCCTCCACGAGATTCACACACTCCTCGGTAGGGGCTACCGGGGCGTGAACCCAAAGACCGCCACCTTCCAGCCGCACGGCAGTCATGCGGATGTTGACGGAAACATTGAAAAACTCCTGAGGCTGTTGATGTTCGTCGTTTGACATATTTCGGGATTTCGACATGGTCAGGTCGGGGCAGCAGAACGCGGGGCGAGCGCAGGGGTTCTTGAGCACGGGGCTTGGTGAACAGTACCGATTCCAAGCCAAAAGGGGGCTACAGGATACTGCCATTTTTGTTGCTATCGTTGGTGGTGTGATTGGTGTTGTTGTTGTTTCTGTGGTGGTAGCTAACAACATTCGAAAAAACAGACAATCATCTCTTGTACTCTGTACCCAGTACCACCTCGATGTTTCGAAAAACTATCCGGGTGGTGGCAAACACGGAACGCCAGACCGTCAGCCAACGTATTGCCTCTGGGTTACCGCGCAAACCGTGAGGTCATGACACATCACGTCGGCGCATTGTCGCAAAAGCTCAGGAGGGCGTTCCAGCCAGCAGGGGAAGACGCCTACGCAGCTGAAAAACTGTTCACACTAGAAAAGAAAAAAAAAAGAAGAGCGCGGTTTCTCCCTCCAAGCCAAGGAGCGTCCAGTTTACCGTAGGTGACACAATATACCACACCTTTGGATCGACTTTTCAAAGCTCGATTACTCCACAGCGCAGGAGAGTGGGGGTGGCGAAAGTGGCGGGTTTCGAACCGGCTCGCCGAGAGCTTTCCGAAAACGCAACACTTAGGCTTTGCACCCACCCTCTCATGCGTGGAGTAGCCGACCTTTGAAAGTCGGTCCTAGGGGGTGTGGTATCTTACGTCACCTAAGCGCGAAAAAAAAAACACCAACTATGTTTGCGGAAATAAAAAATAAACACCCGCACCTGCTCAAAGGCCCACATGACGCCAGGGATCTCCTCCGTGCGTACCGTCGGCCTGCGGCGGGGGAAGGGAAGGACAGGGCAGGCGGGAAGATTGTCACGGGGCCGGTTATGTCAAGACGGGGGCGCTAGACAGGCGTCTGCGTCGGCGGTGGTGGGGGCAAAGAACGCCTCCGCGATATTTCAGGCGGCGACGGCGGCGGCGGCGGCGGCGGCGGCGGCGCCTTCCACAGAGGTTTATCCTGGTCTCGTTTCGTGTCTACATGTACGCTATGCGCTCAGGAGAGCGGCACAGTGGTAGCGTGTTCCATCTTAATCACGTAGTTCGCACGCCTGTGCTTGCGCAACAACGAGGGCGTTGGATGGATCGCAGTCATACTCCCTCCCTTACACCACGTACGCTCCTCGGTCCATACCTCAAGCATGACATACACGTCTCATAACCTAGATCAACGTTATCTCTCTCTGCCCCAACACCTGGGCAAGCAGCCTCCCCCCTATCTACAATAAATAGCAGCGGAAAATATCATTGCGCACAAGGGACTTTGTCAGGTCTACTTCAGCGGGCGCCGTTTCGACGAGAGGAATCAGGGCGAGATCGCCCTTCGCTTTCGGAAATCGGATTGGAAAAAAGAAAAGTGCGTCAAACAATATTCACACCTCGTAGCAACGAGATCTTGGCGGCTAAAGAAAGACACAGCTATTAATAGCTGTAAATGTACCAAAACACAGCTAGCTGCAAATTTCCTCGCATACCTATCAAAGTAGGGCTTGAGAGGCAAGCCCGTGAAGAAGGGGTACTGCCGGTCGGGCCTCGCGTCCTTCCTCGCGGAGGTCTGCGTGTAGACCATGAGCAGAGTCTCCAGCGGGTTGAGCTTCCGCTTCTTTTCCAAGCCTTGCTGCTCCTGCTCAGAGTCGGTGGGTGGGGCACCACCGGCGGCTAGGCTTGTCTCAGCTCTCCCCCGACGATGCCTGGTGAAACCAGTACAATAGGCGCGACCATACTAAAACCAGTACAAACGGACCGCCAATACTGAAACCTATACACTCGGGAAACCCATACTAAGACCTAGACACCCGAGCTACCCATACTTAAGCCAGTACAATAGCCGCACCCGTACGAAACCTTTTCGGTTTGGTTGTGTTCGGCGTGCATGTAGCGGTCGCTCGGCATCGTCGCACCGGCTGTGCCATAGTTGCAACAGGGGCTGGGCTCTCCCGCTTGCAAAACCGTCGTGTATTCTACGCAGGTTGTCCAAGCAAGCAAACGTATTGGACCAGGCATAGAATCGGCAAGTTGGGGTTGGGGCAGTCTAACCTGTCGCCGGCCGAAGTGTATCGGCAAGAACACGGTGCGGCGCAGCTCCTCGAGCAGTCTCTTCATACACATAGCCTACGCCATGACCCGTTGTATCTACTGCAGTACGTTTTGAGCCTCAGACATCATTGTGCTGTTAAGCGCGCTTGTACATCGCACGCGTACTTACGGAGATGCGGTAGGGTAGGTCGCGGTTCAACTTGTGCCGATTCGCGAACAACAGACGAGATCAAGACATCAAGACATCAAGACCCAGGGAAAGGGCAAGGTTTCTAGGGCGATACAGCTGATAGTAAAAGACCGCAGCGGCAACGAACTGTAATAAAAAAGTCTCCATAGACAGTAAAACATGCATTATCTACGTCCACGGGCGACACCTTGTTTTCTACAGACAGCAGGTTCGATATGCTTGAGTCAAGAGAGTACATCGGGGGCACCGCAGGTGTAGAACCAAGCCCGTTCGATCATGAAAAAAACATGAACAACCCAGCACCGCCTCGTTCCGAGCTACAAGGCGGTACTACCGTAGTGTCTGCGTCGTTGCATACTCGCACAGCTACCGGCTTCACGCTCCCAAGCACTCCCTCTTCCCTCTCTGTCTGTCTGTCTGTCTGTCTGTCTCTCCCTCTCCCTCTCTCGGCCTCACCGAACATCCTTGTCATGCTGGGATGACCTCTGACGACGTTGCACTCCTCGATTGCCGTGGCTATCACCAGGGTTGATTTGAGCCGGGGTTGAGAAAAAAGCGGCACAAACGCTGAGGAGAAGAAACAGCGAGGCAATGCTCAGCCGCCTCATGGCTCACACACGGCGCGATCTTGGCGTGTGTGTGAGTCTCAGAGGCAGGCGAGATGACAAACCAAAACCAAGTGCGGGGATGAAAAGACCCATCCCCGTATTGTGAACCAAAACGCCATTGGCGGCCATGACCCCAGGGGAAACATGAGCAACCATCCCCGGCCCCGCGCGGGGCACAATACTTGTAGGTTCTCAGCGCGAACGAACATGTAATGCTGCATGCCGCATGTTCGCGCGGACAGCTAAAAGGGAGGTTGCCGTGAGCGTTCTGGAAGGCACCCTATCGCCACCGCAGACAACAGCACCAAACCTCACCTCTCTTTATCTGCTGAACCCAAGGTCTGGCGCTTCAAGAAAAATCGAGCTGAATGCGGAATGTAAATGGCGCTCTCTATTTACTGCAACTGCTACATCATGATGAGAGAGTAGGCGGATACTCGTCCAATACACGACCGTGACGCGCCACGCAACAGGACGAGTAGCAACGACCTCAACACTTTGATAGAAGTAAATGGGAATGTATTGTATATCGCAAACCCACGGAAGAATGTAAACTCTCGACCCATCACTGTGTTTGTTTGTAGAGGCATCCAAGCGGTGATGGTGAAGCTTGGATCTGCATTCCGTAGTTACGGCCGGACCAAGTGAGCAACGGGTATGGTATGTACATTTGTTATCCCCACGAGAGCGATGAGGAAGAGTACAGTCGCTTTCGCGGCAAGGAAACGGAGGACGAAAACGAAAACTTCAACATGTCCATTGCTGCTATTTATTGCTCATCAAACCACGTGCTGGGGTGGGTGGTTGCTTTACAAACATGTTGCTGATGGCGTCACTAGCGCTGCTCTGGACAGATAGATAGCGGGCACGATTCAGAACCCGATACACGAAGGTCGCAGTTCGCGCAACAACTACCAGTAACTACAGTATTTTACCAGATACCAGATTACCGGATGTCTCTGATTCAACCCCGTCAATCCGCGAGCTTCCAAACGTTTGATCTCGGATTTTTTTTTAACCGAACGATGGCCGCCGTGTACATACTGCAGCAAGCTGTAGTATACCGATCGGTTTAAAATCAAATTGATTGACTTCAGTATTTTGACTGGCTCATGCAACGAGCGCGATCATGCAAGCAGCAACTCCTCGAGCAGAGACCGAAGAAAAAAAATCACGAAAAACAGTCGAAATCACATGATGAATGAGCACCATGACCTCCGTGTTGAACGGAACGGCACACACAGACGCAAACCTGTATTGAAAAGGAAACTTACTTGCCGGTGGAGACTTTGTTCCTTGAGGGCACCGAAATAAAAGAAAAATAGAAAAAAAGGACGCTGCAACTCATCCATCCCTCCATATCACCGCATGCAGACTCTAAAAACGGCCTCTCACGTCGTGGCACATAACAATACCCGGGCACTTTGAACAAGAAAAAACAGTGCACGTGTGCCACGACTTACGATACTTCAAGGCAACATGCAAGCACACCCTGCAACCGAACCCTTTTGTGTGTGGTTGGCGTGAAAGAACGCTTCCAAGAACAACGGCACGGGACGCCTCTACTCAAATCTCATCCCAAGTCGCGAGCACATTCATATTCGATTTCCCTGTGTACATTTTGCACCTCTTGGACCGAAGAGATAACACTTCATCATTACGATGAAGCCTCCGCAGTAACACCCACCGGTGGCAAAAATGGGAAGCTCATATTGGCTCAAGCGAAATGGAAATCGATCATGAAGCAGCAACGCCACGAACGGAGAAAAGAAAAACGGAAACGAACAAGGGCCGAAATTACATAACAAAAGAAACCGGAGGCGACAGCATCGACAAAAAAGCTTCTTGTTCGGCTCGCAAGGACGACACAAACAACAGAAAGTTGCTTGGCTCACAGCACAGACGCCCCTCTCTTGCATTGATCGGTCGAAAACTCCAAGTGCCTACAGCAGACGTCCAAAGAATCAAACGTCTGGGTACTTGTCGGAAAAACAAATGGTGGTTGGGACGACTTGCGCTAGAGGTTCCCGGGCCTGGATGCCCCAGGCGTACTCGCCGCCTCGCGACACGGCAACCCCATCCTCCGTGACGCGGACCTCGTACGTGGAGTCTTTCTGGCGAAACCCGAACCAGGAAGGCCCGGACTTCCGGAGGACGAGGAATCCGTCCACCGAGACCTCCTGCGCAGGTGCACACACATTGCAGCGGTTGCGCGAAAAGGAGGGGGAGTTATGTTAGGGAACATGGCTTTCTGTAGATGTCAAGTGGGGAGACTCAGTGTGCCCGCGATGCTTCTCTCACCATAGTTGACTTCTACCGAAAAATAAAAAGTAGTGAGGGGGAGCTCACCGACGAAGGGAAGGGGTACAAGCCAGGTTACAGCGAGGCGGGGGAGGGCGGATAGGAAAATGTTTGCCGGATGCATCGAGAGAAACCGGCCGTTTGCATCTAATCATAATACGACCTGAGGAACAATGCTAGCAAACATCATCTCGCATGATTCGCATCCTACTACCACAGCTACAAGTCTTGCCGCCCCCCAACGTACCAGGTCTCCCGTGTTCGTGACCGAGAGGGTTGCCTCCCCCAAGTGCGCCGCCGCGTGCTCCCTCGCTCGTCGCCGACGAAAGCCGTGCTTTCCGAAGGGCAAAAAGCCCAAGACGGTGACCATCTTCGACTTCGTAAGACCCCGGCCCTCAACCGCCTCCTTTTCCGCCTCCTCTCTCTCTTCCATGATTTCAGCTCGTAGCCCCTCGACCTTCGACATGCATCGCGGGATGGCCTCCAGCAGGGTCCGTCTCGTCAGCGACACCGGGTCGATGGTCCGGTCCTCGAGGTCCCCCGGCGGCGTTCCGGTGGCCGTGGCGTGCACGACGGAGCCATCGATAGACGTGGCGTACACCATGGTCGTCTTGGCTGGATTCGGGAGTCTCCCGAGCAGGAAGTCTCCACCACGCAGAACGAAGCCCGGGTAAACTCGAACGCGTCGGGTGAGTACGTAGGTCCTTTCTTGTCGTTGCTGCTGCTTTTGTGGCTGTTCCCGTTGTGGCTGCTGCCGTTGCTGTTGTAGCTGCTGCCGTCGTAGCCGTTGCCGTTGCCGTTGCTGCTGCCGTTGCTGCTGCCGTTGCTGCTGCCGCTGCTGCTGTTGCTGTTGCTGTTGTTGTTGCCGTCGTCTATTCTGTCGCTCATGGTCCCGGGCTCGTCCTGTTGATCCTCCTGCGGCTTCGGCGCTTGGTTCTCTGCCGCGGCCCCCGAGATAGATTCGGGAATAGGCGAAGCATCCTTTCCCGCGTGATTGCCCTCGATCTTGCCGCCGTTGAGGACCGTGAAGGCGGAAACCGCATCATCACCAGCCGGGACATTCTCGTCGCCATCGCCATCGTTGGGGTCGGCAGCAGTCGAGGATAGTGCAGGGTCGGACTTGTGGAAGGAGAGTTCTGTTGAAGAAACAACGGGGTCGGCCACATCCTGTTGTTGTTTGGATGCGCGCGGTGGACGGGAGACCGCAGCAGCGAGAGAGGGGACGTGGGGAGGGCAGTCTGTGCACTGTATTGCCAACAAAATTCCCACAACAAGCGGCGTTGAAACGTGGGTAGAATTCAAATATAGCACGAAACTCAAGGCCGCGTGACCACCCGCTATCATCCCGCACCCAATATTCGCCAACACGTCTGTTCGTGCCAAAATATTACAGTGCCAATGAGAAAGTGGAGCTTCCTCTAGACGCTCAAATGGCTTGAATCGTTTCAAGAGAGAAAAAAAGATGAAAATCAATCCTCATGCACCACGGCATGCTTGCAACACCAATACCTGATCTGCCTCTATGCGCTTGCGCCTGAGAAATGGGTTACTACTCCCGAAACGCAAACGACAGGTATGTGCGTCTCACCATGTCGCTGACGTCTGCTGCTGCAGCTCCTGCAGCTCCTGTTGCTGTTGCTGCTGTTATGGCTTTGGGTTCTCACATGTATAGATGGACGAACACGGTGTCGTGTGGGTCGGAGACCAGGGCCAAATCCTGTCGAGCAACAACGAGGTCACCTACACCGCCTAGTCCGTTGTTTTGTCAGCAGATAAGATACATGCACATATATATTGTTTTAATGTGCATGTATCTTATCAGCTGACACAACAACGGAGATGGCCGTGTATGTGATCTTGTTGTTGCCCGAAAGGACTGAGCCTTGAGTTTCAAGCCACCCCACACCGCGTTTGTCCATCTCTGCATGTGAGAACACCACATCCACAGCAGCATCAGCATCGCATCAGCAGACGTCGGCGACATTGTCGTTGATGTTCGTCACGTAAAGGAACCCAACCTGATTTGTCTACAGCCAATAGCTTCAGAGAGTTGATCTGGCCGGGATTCAAAATATCTCACCTTCGACGTCTTGCCGCAGTCAATGTCCCCAAGGAACGTGAGAGCTCCACCGGCGTGCACGGTAGCCTTGGAGGGGATGTCATCGCAGTTGCGGATGACGGTCGTGTCGTCTGCCAAAGAGCGATCTTGGAGGAGCGGCATCGCGCAAAGGGTGAGCAAGGCAAGCAAGCCACCGAGCAGCACCTTCTTCGAGAGATACATTCTTGCGTTTGTACTGGACCGCTCGCTTGTCACGCGTTGTTCTGTTCTTCGGCAAGATCAGTCTCACTCAAGAGCGCAGGTAGCTGTGCCTTGGGTGGGTACAGTATATGATGAGTGATCGAAGGGGTGGGGTGTCGATCCACACTGACTGCAGCCCGCGCAGCGGACAGGGCTAAGGAAAGAGCTCGTATTCTGCGTCTGATCACGTCTGCTTTTGACGGCTAAAAACCACCTCACGGGTGATAATGCTGCTCCGTTCCAGGTTCGGAGAGACACGGTGGTGTGGTCTCCCTTTCGACTGCTGCGGACTCACAAAAAATAGTCCAACCGGCCCAGATTGTTGTTGTACTGTAATTTTTCTCACACGTTGGCGATCTCACAGGTTTGCTGCCAGCTGCTGGTGGCGACGCGCCTCGGTCAGTACAATCCACTTGCATGCGTGCGCTGTATGGTCCACACAAAAGGTACCGTACGCAGACAATGACCAATTGAAGATCCCTTGATGCGCAGCATCTTTCAAAAAAATAATGCGGAGGAATCACGCCTTTCTTATTCAGCCAAATATCCATGCCACCGGATATGAACCTCGAGAGAGATTACTTCCTCACCGGTCTCCTGTCCAGCAGGCGGAAGGCGAATGGTGGGTAAGTTTCTTGCTGGTCGAACGGCCGCCCGGAATGAACAACACCCCGTTCTGCTGTGTAGCGTATGCGTATCATGGTTGGTTACGTTTTTTTCTATAATCGATCGAAAAGGCCGTCCTGTACCTCACCGCCGTAGTACGGGAGTTGGACGCAAAGTCTTTTCCAACTTTGTGTGAACTCACCCCCAGTCGTAGCTGGTATCTGGCATGGTGATATAATGTGTTCCCGTTCCGTGATACTGCTGCCCTACAAGTAGTATTGCTGCTGTGGACGGAGTTTCATCACTGCATTGCTAGCAGTGTTGGATATTGGGTATCGAATATCGATACAAAACTGATATATATCGCCGATACGCAGTATCGGTATTGCCGGTTTCCACGCCGATATTTGTCGATACGAATCGGTATCGTACTTGTATTTATATCGGTATTCGATACTCGATATTTTGGCCCCCTTTTTACCGGGGGGGGGGTCAGTTTCCCAGCTGTCTACCCCCTTTTTTCGCTCCCCGGAGGCGCCTGCTACGCGCCTACGCCTGTCGCCCCCCACTGCCATCACAACCACACACCACACACACACACACCAGCCCCTGCCAGCCACACACCACACCAACAGCGCCTGTGTCTCAGCTCCTGAGAACCACATCGATCGGTGTGCAACATGAGCCTTCAAGAATTCGGCTTTGTCGCCGGCGATAGCGCTGCCTCTGCCGAATGAGTAGTAGCAGTCATCCCCGTTAATTTTAGAGTCAGCTTGCCTCCTTACGTAGATTTGGCGTTTCCCGCAGTTTCAGCAGTAGAACTGCTACATTAGTGCGAACAGAGGCCGTACCTCCTGCGGACAATTTATGCTGTGTGAACTTGGTTTTGGGACGACTTGTAATACGTAATGGCAAGGTGTGCTTGATTTCATGTCCGACCACTTGGTTGGGCGTGTGATGAATAGAGGTAGGTGATGATGTCGTCGTGTTCAAGTTTGGCAAGCGTTTGATTTTCGCACATAATGTTTTCGCCATGTTTTTTCTTTGTTTCCTTTTGGCTGTTGGTTTTTCTAGAGTTGATACTCGCTCGAGGTGCATTGCTGATTGTTGGGCACCCACAACTGGTGGGTGGAATTTTGCATGCATAACTTTGAAGATAATAATTATAAAACCAAGTGTTCGAGTTTTTTTCGCGTTTTTTTGTCATGAAATCCTGCTCGCAGCCGAGCTTGCACTGATTCGATCGCAACCGTACGGCGGTGTTATAGTGTGTACGTGTATACACACATGCACACTGACTGTAAAATGTAAAATATATCTGGGTGGACATAGCTACACAACCAACTCCTGCCTCTTGCACGATGCAGTTTTTTTTTTTTTTTTGTATGCGCTACATCACTTCATTCACAACGTGTGCCCGCTGTTGTTGTGCCCGTGATGTTCAACTAACTAACTGCACACACCTGGCACCTGGCAAACACCACTACTTGCATGCCGCCGGACCATGCGCGCACGTCTTGCGCACAGCTGTATACTTCAGATAAGGGTTCGGGTGTGCCAGGGTACGTGTAGTTGCGTAACGCTCGCTCTTCTTGTAACCTGAGGCCTTCAAAACAGCCGTATCGATATCGAGTATCGATACTCGATACGTATCGAGCCATTTTCGGGGTATCGAACAAAATATCGGTATTTGTGTTTTTTTCTCGATACGATTGGCGTATTGTATCGAACCCTTCTGCCCGACCAATATCCAACACTGATTGCTAGTTAACGGTCCAACGGTCAAACTGGTTCCATGCGGGAACATGTGTCGGTTCGGCAAACCGTACAGTGTGTAGTTCCGCCGCCAAATTCAACCCCAACCTGCCCTATGAAGAGATGCTGAGATCGCTCTCTTTCTCTCCTCTCCTTTTAATGTACCGCACGGCAGTACACTGAATATTTACGTTTGACCTATCCCTCTGTGGTGAAACTTCCCCCCGGGTGTTTGGCATCGAGTTTGGGTTTTCGTCGCTTGGCAAAGACGTCGTAAAACAAGCTGCCGCCCCCGGTGTTTGCCATCGGGATTGGGTTTTAGTCGCTTGGCAGCGATGTTGTAAAACAAGCCGATCACATCGTGAGCTTGGCAACCAGGTTACCGCTTCTTTTTTTTTGCCTTTGGTTTTTGTTTCTGCGGTAGCCATAATGGTGGTCGAGTAGATTATGTTGTGCTGGATCAAGAACCCTCACTTCGCGCGATTGGGATGATCGCACCACGTTGTGTTAAATGTTGGTCGAGCACCCTCGAGGCAGTTACACAATGCTTACAACTGTCTCTGGAAGTGAAAGCACCAGAAAATAAATTAAGTCATGTACGCAGCTGCCATCCGCACGCAAGGAAGTGAGCACAAGATGCCGAACACCCTTAGCAGGATGCAGCGCACCCTTCATGCGACTCGCCGAATACCTCTCCCGGCGCTTCGCGCTTGGTGATGTGAGAGCGAGCCTGGTCCGGCGAGGCCCGGCGTGCTCCGTCCCAGCTTTGTCTAACGACTACGGCATACACGACTATGAGTACACCCCCTCTGTGGTGAAATGTGCTTGCGAAAGGAGCAAGCTTGTTTGTGTAGGCAAGCCGCGATTCTGGTTTCGTTGTGTGCGTGGTGTCGGGATTGGCGGGTACCACGGCGAAACACTACATGCATCGCTGATTTATCCTGGACAAATCTCATGTACGGGCGCAAGCAGACTACGAATGAGTTTGTGTCTTGCCGAAAGAAAGAGGCCTCACTCTCCCAATCAACAGATAATTGTCCGTGGGTTTGTGGGACGACGGGTTTTGGGGTCCGAACTCACTGCGCCTGTTGCGATGAGAGCTTTTTTACCGTCTCTCACGTGGCCGTCTCACACAGCAGTGACTTTCGCCTGCCCCGACCCCCCCCCAACGGTTGCAAGAAACCCCTGGCCGGTGACACCCTGAGAACCGACTTCTTTGTTAGTCTTGTGAAAATCTGAGCTGAGGGGAAAATGTAGCCCCGGTCTCGCTGCAAGAACCGAACGGTACAAACAGCACTAACTTTGCCTCGTGTTTTGCCTGTTGCGGTTCGTGTTCTTCACGATGGCAACGCCAACAAGCGAGCGGAACAGCATGATGAAGAAAAACAGGCACATACTTGCATATTGGCGAAGACCCAACCCATCAAGGATCAACGCAAAAACGAACCGATAAACAAAGGCGACCACGCCGCATTATTGCCTCCAAACCGTACGCTGGAAGAACCGCAACAAGAGAGCGCGCCGTGTTGGCTGTACAGCAGCGCTCATGAGCACCAAAAAATGTTGATTTTCTTCCCCGGAAGTGATGTTTGGCAGGATAACGCGACCACGCCGTGTGGCCCTAGACCCCGCACAATATGGCTACATTTTAGCAGCAGAACACAGCAGTAAGCTAACAAAGGAGACGTTTAGTGAAGCACAGCAGGACACGTACCAGACAACCAAGCACCATTACGGAAACCCTGTTGCTGCATCATCACCCAACGCCGAAAATTCACGCAGTGCCAAGATAGCACAAGAAGCTAAATCTATCGACCTCACTTCCTAGGAATAATGCACACTTCTTCAGGTGTTTCCTATGGTACATCGAAAGGAGCTGGGTTCAAAGCAAATTCGTGAAATGCAACCCCTCTCTGTCTATGCCTCTTCCTTCTTCTTCTTCTTCTTCCTCTTCTTCTCCTGCGCGCGCAAACATTGTTTCACAAAGGGCAGAAGCGTGGGGGATGGGGTGCGGTCAGCTGCGTGCTCAAGACAAAAACGAAACGGGTTTGGGCTGCTGTCAGTGTTGTTGCTACTCTTGGCATCGTCTTGACATTCCAAGCACATCGTGGCCTTCATGGAGCCCCCCCCCTCTCTTAGCACCAACGCGCGACCTAGACCCACGATCACTGCAATCCCAACCTACTTAGACCCGCTTTCATTATAATATTAACGAAACATAGAGGCAAAACAAGAGGAAGGCAGCGCGAGCATGACTCCGGCCGGTACATACGCCTAAATCGTACCACATTCGAGACTCCAAAATGGACTTGAAGAAGAAAAAAAAAACTCACCGATCCCTCGCCCCCGTCCCCGTCCACCTCGGCGCCCACGTCCCCGCCGACAGATTTCCTCTTTTTCTTCTTTTTCGAGGATGGCGCCGCTGCTGCTGCTGATGCCTCGCCACTGTCCCCTGCCTCGTCAACATCGCCTCCCACGGATTTCCGCTTCTTCTTCTTCTTCTTTGGCGTTTCCAAGTCCCCCTCCTCCTTTACCGTCGACGACGCGGCGTTACCGTTGGTGTCCTCTGACGCCGCCGCCTTCTTGGCCTTCTTCGCGCTCTTATCCTTCTTCTTTTTCTTCTTCTCGGAACCTTCCTCCTGCCGAGTCGAAACGGAAGAAGAGAGGGGGAGGGTTTCAGTAAATGCGGCAACCGCTGCAACTTTGGTGGGTTGCGTTCCAGAAGGGTATCGCTCTTGACAAATCATTGAAACGCAATTTATCCTCTCAAGATAGGGTATAACTAAGTAAGAGACTAGTTGCTTTCAAATTAAACCTCCTCTGCAGGGTTGGAGAAGAACGTTCAGCAGCTGAACGAGGAAGTGGGGTCTATGAGAAGCTAGCTTAATCCTCGCCACAGGGGTGGACAAAAACGAGCAAGTGGCTTCCGAGAGACGCGACGGTCGAAAAACACCGCCCTATCCAAAAATGAGCGGGAACTCAGTTCGTAACGCCTTTCCGCAACCCTATCGCAACACTTTCAGCAGCCTTCGCCAGGATATTAAACTTGATTTTAGTAGGGGGTACGCGGTGGGGTTAGGGATTAGGGATACGAAACCCCCCTCGCTATCCCATACTTCTACTTTCGTAGAAAAAAAAAAATTCACCAGGGCAGTTCCGACAACTTTCGATTGCTCCGGGGGTACAAAATCCCTCACGTCAACAGCCCCTTCTCAGCAGGCACTAAGCCCCCGCCTCGATTCTTGGACACGCCAACCACACCGGGTGTTGTTACACTTTCGCACCAGCAGTGTAGCAGGAGCTCTCTCACCTTGACTTCCACCATGTCCTCCCCGGTGCTGAAGGTCTTGGGTGTTCCCGCCACCGCCGCCTTCGAGTCGTACTTCTTTACCTTTGGAACAAGTAACAAACAAAAGAGAACACATTCGTGAGGGGAAACGGTCAACACAACGTCATCAGGATGAACGAAAAATAGAGGTTTCACTGGAACGCAACAAAAAAAAGGGTCAGTCTGTCTGAATCATCACTTCCAGTGGGACCCTCCATCACACGGCTGTCTCGTGCTACTATACACGCTCTCAGCACTATTCCTCTTTCGGGATTGCCCGTTTTCTTGTGTTCTGTGCAGCGTGAAACTTCTCATCGGCGTTTCGACATCAATGCTTGGATGAGAGAACCTTGTTTTCATTCTCTCTACCCTCCCTTCCTCCCTCTCACTCCTTCTCTCATGGTGAGCGGTCACCGAACCCCATGGACAACGGCTATCCGTCCTTCCATATCGCTCCCTTCATCCCATTCTCCCGCAAATTGTGGAAACACAGCATTCGATGATGAAAAAAAAAAAACGAAAACATTCTTGGAGGAGGAAAAGCGCGCTTGCCCCAAGAAAGCTGATGGGTCACCTGCGTAGGCGTCTTCGGCGCCGCCTCCAACAATCGCGCCCCTCCTTCAAGCTGCCGGAGTCGCATCTCCACCTGTTAACCCACACACACAAAACAATAAACGAAACGGGTGCAACCAACAAGGGCGGGTTAAAGCACAGCAGAGCAGCGAGGCACACACAAACACACAATAGATGTTGCACCGATGGACCTGCTGGGCAGATGCTGTACATCGCAGACAACGGGAGACCATAAAACAAGTGTAAACGAACTAACCTTGGAACGGCTCTCGATCCCGATGGTCGTGTCCGTCTCGTCCGCGAGAGCGTCCACGCGGATGGCCAGCGCGCACTTGGCCGCGAGCACCCTCGAGATCTTTCCCTTGTTCTTGGGGGCCGCCTGTCCGATCAAGCTAGCGTGGTAGATCAGCCCGTACTTGGGCGTGTCGTGCTGCAGAGTCGAGCCGAGGTGGGGGGGGGTAGCGTTGGCGTGAGGCATACAGGTCTGTGTGATGAGTTCAGGGAAGAGCGTTCGAGTTCGGATGAGGGATACTGGGCCGTTTGGTGAGTTGACAGGAGGGGGTTCGAGTTCCCGGTGAGAAGGCATACTACTGCTATGCGTGGTCATGTGCGGGTAGTGCTGAGTTGGTCATTCCGGCGGGAACGTTCGTAAGGTACGCAGACAGCCACGACCCAAAGGAACATCACGGCGTAAACATGCTCTCGCAAAAAAAAAAGAAGGAAGAACCAATGACACCTTCGCCTTGACCGCGACGCCAAAAACATGACAGCACATACACGTCAACACTGCCAAACAAAACACACATACACATACCTTCGTCTTGAGCGCGCGGAAGAGAGCCTTCTCGGCCCCGAGGATCTGCACCGTGGACGCGGGCTGCTTGGCGAGGTTGATCAACGACCCCGCGTGCGCGATGAGCCTCGCTCCGACAAGCTCGCCGACCATGATGGTCAGATTCGGCGCGATGGCCTGCATACGGCTTCGGAGGTACTCCGAGAGCTGCAACCGGTATTCCGACAGCGCTACCACCTGTTTTTTTATTGAGACAAGCAGCGGCAATTTCGGGGGGCATGAAGCGGCGCGTTCGGTTGACGTCTTCTTTCGTGTCTCTGATAAACAGATACGATTGGATCAGTGTGCACTATTGAGGCATCGTGTCTCTGATGAAATAGACACGTTCGGATCAATGTGTGCCATTATTGTCACTAATACGTCACCAGTGCCATCGGACAGTAGAGCAGAAATGCAGGGCAGTGATTGGGCGCCACCCTCCCACTGCCTTCTTGACATGACACTGTACGCAACAAGATGAGCCCCCTGTACCCCCTACTGCTATAGGTGCACAAGGTTAAAGCAGCTCGCTCGGTCATGCAGAACACCATGCGACAACCAAGTAGACCCCGCCGAACAATACATGTCACTAAAGAGAGCAATGACATACCTACGAAACGATTCACGGAAATACCAACACCAGCAAAAATACACATCTGCGTGAATGTAGATATTGTTGCCGCCTTCATGACAAACGCGAAGACGCGCAAGTGAGAAACCTGGAATAGCAATCGTCTATCCACTGATCCCCCCCGGCAAGCAGCGGCAGTGTCGAGCCCAACCCACCTGATCCGCCAACGACTTGATGCTGACGATGTCGATCATGGTGATCTCCGTACCCATGCTAACTTCCGCGGCCTCCTTCAAGTCCTTCACCATCTGACAGCACAAGACGGGAAAACGCAAAACATCGAAAATCTCTTTCAATATTCGCGTTTCGTACCGCATCATCCATCCCAAAACGGAGCTGGGCCTCATAGAGACTCAACTCGTTCGTCCGAACAGCAAACTCGTTCGTCCGTAGAAAAAAATACGTCGTTGTGTGTTGTGGTCACACATTTGATGTGCTTCCTTAAAAAATCGTCTGTGTGGCCATAACCACATACATACAAAATAGCTCGACTGATCACGTGATAAAGTCGTGACTCGTGTCACCGAAATCATGCACGTGGATGGACAAGACAGACTTCTCGGCACAAGGAGCTCGATTGGAACCGTAGCACACTAATACCGCGCCCCCTTTCCATCGTCTCCTTCAAGGGATATAAAAGGTTCAATTTGTTGGGTAGTTGGCTTGTGCCCACGGAAGGCGTCCGCGCCAGTTGAACCGGTACGGACATTAGAAGGTACTGAGCGGACACCGGAACTTTTTTTCCGTGACGACGACAAAAGCAACAACAACAGCAACAAAATACTTCTAAACTCACGTCCTCGTCCTCCATGATGTCGCTGAAGTCGCAGTTCTTGCACTCCGTCCGGACCCCCATTCTCACCACCACCTTGGCGTACATCATGTTGTCATTGATGATCTGCGGGGGGACGACAGACAAAACACCAAGACGGCAGGTAAGGGGGCCCGTCCGACCAAGGTGGATGTACTGGCATACATTGCCTCCTTTGCTCTTCTCTCCGGCGTGGGTTTCTTATCCCAGTCCTTATCGCTCTATGCACGTGAGTAACCCTCGATCAACACTTTTAAGAAAAAAACTCTTTTGGACGAAGCCAGCAGGGTCGACAAGCTGATAAAAAACGCGTTTCTGCCGCACTTGGCGTGCATCGTGTCGTCCACAGCGGTTCTCGACGAATACATGTAGCATTCCGAGAGACACCAAGCGTAACCGCAAAAGCGCCGTGACCAAAACAGGAAGGCTTTGTCGCTTGAAATGTCAGCAAGAGAACCAATCGTTACCGCAAACATCGACAGCAAGGACATTCATTCGCCTGAGATGGAAATCAAGTCAAACAACGATCTTGATAGCCTAGAACACACGGATTGTGCATTTACAGCCAGCGCGAGAACAAGTCACAACGGTCATGGCCTGCTTCGACGACACCATGCTCGAAAACGAAAAAAAACAAAAATCAGGAGCTCAGAGAGAGAGCGTAAAGAGGGGGGGGACAGCGGCCAAGAACATCGCCACCATCCTGCCTTCCAGACCGTTGTCCCCTCTAACTCAGCAGTCAGGACACCCAGACGGCTCCATGACCACCACAGCATTCTTCGCCAACAGACAGCAAACGCACGTCTACGCATGCCTGAAAGAGTTACAGTAGAGGTCCCTGTATAAGGCTGGTCCAAGGGGAAATGCCTGCCTTACCGGGCACTCGGCACTGTTGAGAGATTGCTACAAAATTGAATGTTTCATCTGTGCCAAGCGATTTCACCAACCTTAAATAGGGCCAAGATAAAACCTCACCTTCGCCATTTCCGGGAAGTGCCATCCGAACCACTCCTTGACGCGCATGGCGTAGGTGTTGATCTCCTTGTCCAGCTCGTCGAGGAGTCCAATCGCCTGCACGATCATCGTGTCCACCTGTCGTCCGGACAACACCACACAAACACGGACAATGACGAACAAACCAAGAGAGAGCAGGACAAGAGTCACGACACAACCATGGACCCTGACAAATCGAACCAAAAGAGCAGGACAGTCGTCACAACACAGCCATGTAGAATAACAAACGATCAACCAAAGGAGCGCGACATGAGCAGTTTTCAGCGGAGGTGAGCTACAGTACACGGTGGTTCTCTTCATCTTACAACCTGCATCGGAAACATGGGAGACAAGAAACACAACAGCTATTTAGTTGTGCTGACATCACCACCACGACCAACTCCGAAAATGACGAGCAGTACCAACAGCAACAACGACGACATCAGCCAGAACTCAGCATCCAACACGTGAGTTGTGTGCCAGATCAACCATAACCGATCAAAAAAAAAAAAGTGAAACACGCCACCAATACACCACCATCACCGCCGCCATCGAAGAGCACGGAACTCCACCAACGAAAAAAAAATCTAGCTCAAGTCCGCACGCGGTCCGCATAAAACCCCAATGACTCGCGCACCGCGATTCGAAAGGACTGCTTCTTCCAGGCCCAACGCGCCCGCCAAAATCTACACCGCCCGTCACTATTTAGCGGGAAAGCAAAGCCACCATAAACGGCTGCACTCCCCCTCTACGCCTTCCTTCGCACCTTGTCCGCCGAGAACTTGAGCTTGTACCGGGAGAGCGAGTGGCTGAGACCCAGGCGCATCGCCTTGAGGTTGTCGTCGCCGACGGAGGTAAGCAGTCCGTCCAGCTGGCCCCTGATCCCTCGCATGAGCTCCATGACGCCCGAGTCGTTGACGCACTTGATGGACAGCTTGTCCTTGATGGCGTTCGCGAGCTTCGAGTCCGACACCGCGAGCTGTTTCGGGGAAGGGGAAGGGGAAGGGGAGAGGGGAGAGGGCGATTCGTGAAACGAGGTGTGGTGATAAGGGAGCCGTAGCAGCGGGCCTTGACTTTAGTTTATCGGTAGCAGGGCGATAGACTCCGACGTTGAAGCTTGATCGGGAATGAGAGTGGGTTGCGGATCCATTGGTCGGCGTGGCTTTGCTTTCGCGTCCTCTACTTCTGGCTCCAGCCGAAACGATTCGGCATGTGTTCGACGTATCAGCGGCGGTCACAGAGCAGAGGCACAAGAACGCTCGTGAAAAATCAAGGACGGACGTCCGCTTCTGGTGCTGCGGGTTTCACCAGGAATTAGTCATCTACATCTGTCACGCCACCATCCATGACAGAACAGCCGGTGAGGCTGAGCATTCTCCCTTGACCCCCGCCGATGTACGTCGGCCTGCCCTGCCCCAATACGTGCTTTGGAGAGGACTTGGAACGACAACGTGATGTCACGCCAACACCCGCACCGGCAGAACGTGCACATGCAATAGACAAGCAAAAAGAATTGCAAAAAGAACTGCAACACCAAAACCACCACCAACAGCAGTAGCAGGCGAACTACCGTAGCTCTAGGAACACACCACGCCCACCTTATCCTTGAGCTCCTTCTTGACGATGTTTTTCGTCAGAAACTTCTTGAGGCTCTTGCCCATCTTGCTGTCGATCATCTCCGTAGATGCCGCGACGGCGTCCGCCGTGTCTGCGAAAGTCATGAACGCCTGCCAGGGGGGGGGGGGGGCAAAATACCACAACGCGCAGGTCAGTGTGTGCGTGTTAATCCTACTCACCCTGACACCAGTCTATGGCTGACCCTTTCGTCGGAGTGCATGCTTGATGTGACAGCCGGGGTCATACAGGAGGAAGGCCACACGAGTTTTGAAAGAAATCAACGAGAAAATGCAAGGATGCCGGTGGAGGCAATCGATTCCATTAACCAGGCTGATCAAGCATGTCAGTGTAGTGTACAGTCCAGAAAATTCTCACAACAAACGGCGTTGAAACGTGGTTAGGATTCAAAGAGAACAGAAAATTCAAGGCCGCGTCACTACCCGCTATCCTGCACCCAAAATTTCGCCAATACATTACACACGTTCTTGCAAAAGAAAAAAGTGCTAATGAGAGAGTCAAGCTTCCTCTAGACCGTTAAATGGCCTGCACCATTCCAATACAACAAAAAAAAAGGGCAAAAACGTTCCTCGTCACTACGGCATGCTTGCAACACCAGGACCTATCTGCCTCAAGGTGCTCGCGCCTGAGAAATAGGCTACTCCCGAAACGCAACCGACATGTATGTGCGTCTCACCATGACGCTGACGTCTGCTGCTGCTGCTGCTGTGGCTTCGGTGTTCTCACATGCACAGCTGGACAAACGCGGTGCTGAGTGGCTTGGAACTCAAGGCTCAGCCCTCTCGGGGCAACAACAAGAATACATACACGGCCAAGTCCGTCGTTGTGTCTGCTGATAACATACATGCACATGCATACTTTTTGATGTGCGTGTATGTTATCAGCTGACACAACGACGGTCTTGCCCGTGTATACGATTGAGTTGTCCGAAAGGACTTAAGCCTTGAGCTCCAAGCCACACCACACCGCGTTCGTCCATCTGTACATGTGACAACACCAACGCCGCAACAGCAGCAGCAGCACCACTACCACCAGACGCCAGCGACGTTGTCGTTGTTCATGTTTGTCTAGTAAGAGAACCCAAGCTGATTAGTCTAACACGTCGTGTGTCTCGATGACAAAACGTCCAGCGCATTTCGCAATGAAGAAAGACAACCTCACCGGGCCAAGCATGTAACGCGGCGGGCAACAAAGGAGAAGGTATCCAAGCATCCTGCTCGCACCCCCATGACCTTCACCGTTGAAGCACACCATCCCTCCCCGTTTACAGCCGAAACATCTCCTTGCCCGCGGTGACACCTTCTGTGCCCGAACCAATTCCCCTCAACACAAACAGCTGTAAGTACTAAATAGTGCAGCAACACACTTCCATTTCTCACCCCGCGCACCTATCAACTTACCGCCTCAATCTTCTACCCAGCAAGATAAAAACAGTCCTTTAGACAGGTACAGTGAAACAGCAGCTCACCTTCAGCTTGACGGATTCCGCCGCCTTCTCGGGGGTGGAGAACTCGTCGTAGATGCCGTCCGCGTCCTTGAGGATGGACTCGTTAGTCATCTGTAGACAGATAACAGCAGTCGCAGTAGGAGTCAACAGCAGTGATAAGACGCAAAGCAGAAGAAAGAAAAAGTGTGCACAACGGGTCGACCAGTTGGACTGCTGCCGCCGAAAACCGCACCAAATAACAAGACCAAAGCATCGTGGACAGGCAAGGAACGTGCTGATTGTAGGTGACATATGCATGCATTGATGCATATGACGGTGACATCCTTCGAACGTGTGTCACACAACATGGACTGACTTGCCAAAGCTCGACTACCGCCGCACTTCACCACAGCAGAATCGGCGGAGCAAAAGAAAATGACGGCGTTGGAGCCGTCTCTTCGAGCACTTTCCGACAAATGTATGCATATGGTGTGTTATTTGATTTGATACACCCTCTTCGATATGGGGTAGTCGATGTTTGAAAATCGGCCCAAAAGGGGGTGTGCTATCTTACGTCACAAGGCAGCAATTTGCAAGCGTTCTCTACCGTATCCTACATATTCTCTCACAGCGAACAACACCCGCACCACTCACGCCCTACATGTAGGCGCCCCAGAGGTTGAATTTCTTGCATTCGCTTGGTATCTGCCAGTCAGCAGCTGAGCAAAAAGAGGGCCGCACGGACATGCCCACTTCCAGCCACGAAACTGACGGGGTGGAGACCACCACCGCAGGAGCCCTACAACTACTATTGCGTACAAAAGCGCTCCAACACAAAGAAATCCTTGCTACTGTGGGTAGATGTAGCTATGTGAAAGGCACTTCTTTCGCCATACGGCCTAGACGCTGCTGCGGGGCTTGTGCCAGCACGCCGCAGCCGCTGATTGGGCGAGAACAACCGTCGGGGAGAGGGTGAATATCCTTTGATGGCCACACGCACACAATGGCGCTGTGGTGGTGGTGCCGCTGCTCCAACTAAAAAACATGACTGCACGACAGGGTAGCGCTTTATCCCTAAGAACATCGTAGACCATGCTTTCCGACGAATGCACAAACCTTGAACAAGGCGTAGCCCGCCGGCGTCTCGAAGAGAACCAACATCCTTTGCGTCCGCTGCGGCTAGCCACTCCCGTGTGCCTGGCGCTCCCTTTCGTCCTCTCTGAGAAGCCTTCAAAGCCAGCCAGAAATTTCACTGGTCTCTTCGAGCTGCGCGGCACGCCCTCTGTTTGAATTGTCCACGGCAATAAAGCGCTCCCCTTGCTCTCCAAATCTCCTGTGACGCCTGGCTTGCAAGAGAGATTGCGAGCAACCCCACAGACGCAGCAGCCACACCAAAGCTTCGTCGCGAGCAATGCTTGGTGCTGGTGCAGCGCCAAGCTGTCGGGGGGTCATTGTATACAGTACCCACGCTTACCCCACATTGTCGACTCTGTAGGGCCCCCTCAGCAGCCGCAAATCATGTCTACGGCTGCTGTCTCCTGCTCTCTGCTCTGCTGCCACGTGGGGCATCACGAGACACATACCCATCGATGCACAAAGGGGAGGATGGGAGGGAGAAATTTAGCTCGGGCTGGCAGAGAGCGCAGCTGTAGTCGGACCAGTCGCACAGCACCTACGAACTCATGTGTTCTGGTAGCCCCAGTTGCAGGGTTCAACAACAACGGGATTCCGCGTGCTAGGATAGCGAGGCGTCGCTGTGCCGCTGCTGTGGGAAAAGCCTGGTGCTGGCTCCTGCTGGCGCTTCTCGTACTGTCGGAGTCTCTAATATTGTGTTCCTGCGTGGCAGCTGCAGCGGGCAAGACCTACTACACAGGCAAGAGGGCAGTTTGAATCCAGTGGATGCTGGCAACAACCAGATCCGCGCTGTGTGTTCTGCCTGCTGTCTGTGTCGCCTTCTGCTGCCCGCAATAAGGCCGTGATGTACCCACTGCAAGAGGCACCGAGTTAGCTACAGCAGTACAGCGGAGTTGAAAGGACTTGTTTTGAAGCAATAAGCTCTGTTCGAACTCTCTCTGCAGAGTCTCCTAGAGCTTGTATGGAGGAGGAAACCAGCCTGATCGTTGATGACTCTAGCATACAGCTGCTCATACCGCTGTGTACATAGGTGGAAACAGGCTTGCAAAGCCTCCGATCAGATGCAGATGCTGGGCAGTAGTCTGGAACTGCCGGACTAAATACCGCACTGCTGAAACCGCTGTGTAGCTGGAAAGAAAGATTAAGATATGCAAAGACTCCGGGGATGCTGGGCAGTAGTCTGGAACAGACGGGCCGTGCAACTATCGAACGTTTCTGCGACATTCGCGTCTCTATCTCGGTCTGCTGTCTGCCTTGCCTCCAGTGCTGGGCGTCGAGCCGGGGGTTAGCGACGAGAACCTGAAACGCGCCTACCGGCGAGCGGCAGTAAAGTGGCACCCGGACAAGAACACCGGCAACGTCGAACAGGCGGAGAAGAGGTTCAAGGAGATACAGGAGGTGGGTGTGTGTGTACTCATTAATACGCATTCCGTGTGTAGTCGTTACGACCATTGACTTCTCATGCCGGGACGGAGCGATAGAGAGATATGGAGGTGGAGCGCGAAAAACTTGCACTATTATTTGCATTTTCTCCCACTCTATTCCCGTCCCGGGGCAGTTAGTTCGTTCAGCAGCAGCCTTGGCGAGGATATTAATCTTGGTTTTAGTATTGGGTCGGGGGCTACGGTTGGGGTAGGGATACGACCCCCCCCTCTCTATTTCAAGATTAGCAATACCGTATATGACACAAGATAACACACCCCCTGGATCGATTTTCAAAGCTCGATTTTCAACAGCAGCAACAGTCGCAGGGCCGAAAACGGCGGAGTTGAAGCCGTCTGGTCGAGAGCTCTCTGAAAACGTATCCTTTCGTCTAAGCATGCTCTTCGTCGTGGAGTAATTGAGCTTTGAAAATCGGTCCAGGGGGTGTGTTATCTTGTGTCATATACGGTATATTCCCCGCGAAGGCGGCCCACGTTGTAGTTTGTTGCGCAGGGTTTCGGATCGCTTACTTGCCTACAACGCTCGTGCGGGTCTCTGGATGGCGTATGTACGTACGTATGTGTCATAAAGTTGACACACCCTTACAGGGTGCCGCCCGCGTCGTTTTATGCTGCCGCAGGCCTACGACACATTGAGAGACCCTAGGAGCAGAGGAGACTACGACGATAGCCTCAGAAATCCGGTGAGAGGATCACAAAGTGAACCTTTAGTAATGTTGCCGTGCTCATTCACAGGAGGGTCTTGCAGTACTCGCTCCTCCAAAGAATCGGTGTGTATTCGGGCAGGAAGAGTCGGAGACTCATAGCCGGGCGTGCGTTTGAGACAATTAGACCTCTGCACGCTTTTCAAGTCAAGTGATTGTGTGTCTTCCCGTCCAAGCTTTTCCTCCTTCCACCCTTCCATGAACAGCGGTAAAGCCAGTCGAAACGCACGTTGTTACCCTCTCCCTACCGTAGATGACCATAGATAACACCCCCCCAGGACCGTTTTTCCTTTGGTCGGCTATTCTGCAGCAAACAAGCAGTGACTTGTACCGAGAATGGCGGCGTTGGAACAGCCGTGTCCAGAGCTTTCCGAAAACGCATCGTTTTATTTTGGTATCCTCTTCGTCGTGGAGTATTCGAGCTTCGAGAAGCTTTCCAAGGGGGTCTGGTATCTCATCCAACCTGCGGTATCTATCCCCTTGTCCCGAATCATCGGAGCGAGTACGTATCGTAGACACCCTCCCCGTCGCTCATCGGTAGATGTGCGAGGGCCATGTTCTCACGATTACCCATCCTCCTATGGCATATTTGGTTTGGCACAGCAAATTCGCAAGGGTGATGTCCAACTTCTGGTTGGCAATTGTGACACGTACCCTGGGCCGGCGGAAACCCGGTATTCCTCTCCGTCCCGGCATTGTAGGAATGCAAGGTCAATGATCTAACGACTACGACATGCGGTTACATAAGTACACCCCCCTCCCGCTCCTCGTACCCTACCCGCCAGAGGAGAGCAAACCAGGGCTACCCTTCCTCCTATGGGGGGCAACCCTACAGCCGACGGCCGTCTCCCCACCCCGACGACGCCGGTGATTTCTTCTCCACGGCGTTCTACGCGAAAATGCGGGAACAGGCGGCGGCCGCGGGAGGGGCTGCGGGCGGGGGGGGAGCGTACCGCCCGGGGGCGGGGGCGGCGGCGGGGGGGGGTCCGTTCGAAGGGGTCAGAGTGAACCTTTTCGACATCTTTCGGTTCAGTCCGGGGAACAGGGAGAACCTCGGCGTCCCGAAGGCACGGTGGCGGCAGATCGTTGTGAAGGTGGAGGTTTCGCTGGAGGAGCTGCTGTCGGGGATTGTCAAGGAGATAAGCGTGAGTTATGTAGGAAGCTAGCTCGGCAGTCACATGCCCCGGTGATGACAGCTTGCAGCGGTAGTGCGTCGGGCTGACGGCCGCTTTCGGAAGCTTACCGCAGGTGCTCGCTGAGAGGCAGCAAACACCCAGAAGGGATATAACTTGGCTACCGTCTACACGGACACGTAAATATCCCCGACAACATGCTGCCGCGCGCCGCGCGATATTTGCGTGTTTGTGTGTGTCTCGTGCTTCCCTAAGAGTCGGGATTGAGAGGTTGCAAAGGTGTCACCGGAGAGAGGCAAGATACATGTAGGAGAAATGGTGCCAACGGAATCGAATGATGTTGGCACTCGAAGAGTTGAGTAAAGACTGACAGAACAGACAGGCAGACAGACAGGCAGACAGAAAGACAAGCACGCGCGCAGGCAGGCAAGTAGACGGAGAGACACAGGGGGGTAAGCATGGTCGCAAGGGTAGAGGATAAGGCGCCGTTTTGGTCGTGCTTCCGAGAGAGTGGAGCGCGCTTTTTTTTGCCTAGGCGTGAATGGAAACGTAACGGCTCAAGACCTTTTGTGGTAGTGTACCTCAAACCGCGTAATGAACGTGGAAGAGCAATCAGAAAACAGTTTCCTCCTTCGTTCGCACGCGCCCGGTGTTTTCCTGCGTCAGATTGGCGACTCTATCATTGAGCGCTACAAGCAGGCGGCTCGTACGGGGCTGCTGTCGGAGGTGCTGCAGGAGGGGGCAGCGGTATTCGGAGCCCTGCTGATCAAGTGCCCATTACCCGTAAGGCAGTTACTAATTTCCGTTGCCGTTGTTATGGCGCAGCTTTTTGTGTTTCCGTCCAATGATGATGGGTTGTTGCTGTGCTTCGCCGTCGGCAAGCAGCGTGTACCTGCGGTATACCCCTCCTTTCGACTATTACAGCAGTAGCGTAGGGGACTGAAGATACCACACACCCCCGGACCGACAATTAAAGCAGAACCTTGGACGGATATACCATACGGGACGAACACCGCAAGCTCTCGACGGAACGGTTCCCAAACCGCCATTTTCCCATCACCGCCACTCTTTCTGCCGTATAGCGATAGAGCTTTGAAAATCGGTCCAGGGGGGTGTGGTATCCTACGTAGCCTCCGATACTTCGCGTGATTTCGATCCACGTGAATGACTCCAAAGCGCGAAACTGGTTCGAGGCTGGGTTTTCCGGGCTGGCGCGTTTTGGGGAGCGGCGTTTGTTGGACGCCCCTGCTGACCGATGTGCCTGGTGTTTTGTGACAAGGTGCATACCGTAGGTGACATGATGTAAGATACCACACCCCTTGGGCCGATTTTCAAGGCTTGAGTACTCCACGACGAAGAGGATACAAAAGTCAAAAAGATACGTCTTCTCGAACGAGTCCGTTCCAACGCCGCTGTGTTCGATGCCGCCATACTGCCTGCGTGGGAAAAATCGATCGTTGAAAATCGCTCCATCCAGGGGGTGTGATGTCTTACGGTCCATGCACAACAATTTGTCCATTCACGTTTTGTGCGATATCTTTTTAAAGAAAAAAAATTGAAACGCGAAACAACGATATTCGTGACCGCCTCGTCGAGCTACGTCGATAGCTGCAGAGTGTTTTTCATTTTGGGAAAATGCGACATTTTTTGACCAAAATGATCCACGGAACCCCCTAAATCAGCATAGTACCCCATGTTTTCCTCCGCGGAGCCCCCATATATTACCACGGTGCCCCCCATTTATCACTGCGGAGCCCCCTCTATCACCACGTTGGCCCCCATTTTTGCGCCAAGGCACCCCCATTTTATGCCACGGTGCCCCCTCTGTGAAACGTCACGGCAGAAACAACCCTTGGCCACCACAAGCACACACACGTGCTCTCGCTCGCCCGCGGTAAACACGGCGAAGCGAGTATACTGAAAACAGGAATCAACACACTCGTCCACTTCCTGCTTTCTTATTGGCCAGCGGTTTATTTCTGCCGCTTCTCACAAAACGCAGATTTCCCTTACTTCGTCAGTCAATCTTTCGCTTTTCTCGATGCTTTCGAAATTTGTCATTATTTTGCGTACCCCCTTTGCTCGCCAAGGGGGAGGGGAAAAGAGCGGAGACCAGGCAGGGCAACACACCACACACGCCCCCGGTCTACTCCTTACGATCAGTATAAACATCAGCCACCCAACGGACAGAAATATATAAACTCGCTCGCCCCCAAAAAGAAACGTCACGGCAGAAACAACCCTTGGCCACCACAAGCACACACACGTGCTCTCGCTCGCCCCCGGTAAACACGGCGAAGCGAGTATATACTGAAAACAGGAATCAACACGCTCGTCCGCTTCCTGCTTTCTGATTGGCCAACGGTTTGTTTCTGCCGCTTCTCACAAAACGCAGATTTCCCTTACTTCGTCAGTCAATCTTTCGCGTCCATACCCTTCTTATTCACAACTGATCGTGCAATAATATACACGCAATGCAGGACGAAAACACATGCACAGTCTATTCGCATGCACAACACTTCACTCTATCACTCTATATATAATTAATATATACAAAACTTTCGGAGGCAGTCAACCGCAAGGGAGTGCTGGAAAAAACAACAAGGCCCAACACAAAAGAAAGGGAACACGCAGCCGGCGCACAACAAACCCGGCAAAGCTGTTGAACAAACATTTGTACAGCGCTGGCATGCGCACGCAAAACACACATCACGACCATCAAATCTGCCCCGCGGTCATGGGAGAGCGCATCACCAGCACCGGGTGGAAGCTCATGTTGCTGCGCCGGCTTCGGCTTCTTAGGAGCCGCCCGGCCATCGGCTCCGCGATAGCCGATCTTCTTCTTCTTAGGCCGCCCCCTAGGATTCCCCATGGTGCTTGCGTGGGTATTTTGTGTTCTTCGGGCTGCAACGTGTGCGAGAGTTGTTTGTGCGTGTTGTGTCGCCCACCAAAGCACACCCACCCATGGTGCGGCACAACATGTTGAATATCTCGAAAACTAGATTTTTCCCAGCAAAACCCCAAAACCCCCAACTGTAGATCGACGATAGGGATCGTTTGCCACTGTTTATTTTGAAATCGGTCGGGTGGTTGTCGCGCTGTAAACGAATCAAGTTGATCCTCTACATTCAGTTATTCTCTGATATCTCCTGTAATTTCGAGAATTACAAAAAAAAAAAAATCTCCAACCGCAGAATTCCGACATGTGTCCAAATCCGTTGAGTTTTTTGGCATCGGCAATAAACACCACCCTGTGTAAACGAATCAAGTTTTAAAGGTGTTTCGGGGATAAAAAGTCAAGGAAAAAAAAAACAAAAAAAAACTCTCCGTCACGCCATGCGCCTGGAAACAGGGCGTTTGCCGGTACTTTCAGATTTCGGAACAACCACCTGTGTGCAGAGAAAAGTTGTCATTTGTGCTGGGGGAATTTATGGATTCATTGTTGTGCACGGACTATATGTCAAGTATGTACGGTTTACGTTTTCAGGAATTACAAGCCTGGTAGAGATCCCTTCCCACCGGTGTGTCGATGCCGGCAGGTTTAAGGTTTTTTCATCGACCCCTTCCCATTCCCCTCGGAAGAAAGTTGGAGAGGGGTGCTTCTCTTTTTTTTCTTCCCAACCGCAGCGCCCCC